GTGAAAGCAAGTGGTGGCGCTTGCTGTTGCGACTTTTGGCATCTTGGGCTTAACCTCCTTGGGCCTGGTGGCCTCAGCACATGCACGACCATAGCACTGTTGGCTTGCCTCTTCTTCTGATGCTTCCTGTGCTTCTTGGCAAAACGCATATTCCCTGGGAACTTGGTATCAACCCCCTTAAGAGATTCATATTTTTGTGATCGGGGTTTCTTGATGCCATTTCTGTGTCATTTTCAGAATTGGTTGTGTAAGGCATGGTTCTTGGACTTGGCCATGTCTGAACCTGTAGGAAAGACAGATCCGGTCTGGGGCTCCTCTCCAGGCTGGGCCACTTCTGCCACCCTGGGGGAAACCCTCTGTTCCTGAAGCGCCTGGGACCAGAAGAGAAAGAGCCTCTAGTAAGAGGATTTATAGTTGCTGCGCTCCAGACTTCCAGCTTTAGTTTTCAGGCAGGTGACGGTAATTTATCTTAATGTGGCTTTTATTGGGCCATGCTGTTGAAGGTTCATTCAGCTCTTGAATTTGTAAGTTTGTGTCTTTTGCCAAATTTGGGGCCCTCTAGCCATTATTTCTCCCTAGCTGAGGGGAGCTAAAGTGTCTCATTACTGCTCCTTGTGTGGTTTCCATTGATGCCATGGGAGGGCCTAACATGAGGAGGGAGCAGTCATACAGATGCTGAGTCTCCATCAGCCTCTTGCTCTTGCCCCAGAGGAGAGGGAAACAGATACCTCATTCCTGCCAGCTGAGATGAAAGCTCCCTGTAAGGCTTCCCCTAGCACTTAGTAATGGCATTAGGGGGAGGTCTTGTTCTGCCTGGCAGGAATAAAAATCCTCTGTTCCTTAATCAGCCTTCTCTCTGTCTGACTCCACTTCAGGACAAGTGTTGGAGTGCTTGTTGCAAACTCCTGAAGGTGTAAGTGTACCTTCCCCTTTTGACCTGAGCTAATATGGGTGGGTTAAGGGTCTTGGGATTTTTTTTGTTTTTGTTCTGCTTTTACTTTTGGTGGTGGTGTTTGCTGTTCAGTGGCTTCTGTCTAAAACCTTCCTGTCTTGTGGCTGCTCTTCCGTTTGTTAAACCCAACTTGGGGGGTGGGGGGGTCTTGTTTTTGACTGATCACAATTTGAGGTTGCCGACTTCTACAGTTTTAAGTCAGTAAGGAAGAAAAAAAAAAAAAAAGCACGTGAAAAATTCATCCCTGTTTCTAGCCAGTTTCCCAAGGTTCCTAGCCAGTCTGCTGCTGTCTCACGACCTCTCACTTTTCTTGCATTTACTTTGTACATAATGTCCAGCTTTCTAGTTGTACATGAGAGGGGATTAAGGAAAAGCACATCTACAGCATCTTCCTAGATGTACACGTCCTAAACAACCTTGCTGTGTGACATGTGTGATATGCTTCTAGACTCCTGTTTCTGTGGTCAGTGGCACTTTATAGCATCTTTGAAGATACAGCCTGGCACACATGAATGAGGATAGTCACAACAACATAAGTATATATATATGTGTGTGTGTGTGTAGAGAGAGATTGATCATATGGAATCTATATTCTTTATAAAGCTATGAAATAAAATAGGAATAAAGAGCATAATTCTTTTTAGGGGTTTGTATGGAACTGAATGTTATTAGCATAAGTTAACTTATATTAACTTTTGGGGTTATGGAACATTAGTTGCCTAAACTGGGCTAAACTAAAATCTTCACTGTATTGTCCTGGTTTACTATTCAATAGAAGATAGAAAGGACTCTTAATAGAAAAGAGTATTTTGTATCCTGTTACTGTGAAGACAAAAATTCTCTGGCATATACAGTTATATTTGTTATTAGGCATTACTTCAAAGAAAACCAAGCTATAACACATAAATTGAGACCAGAATAACAAATGTCAATAGTCATCATAATATTTTGAAGGAAAAAAAGAACAAAAAGTAAATGCAGAGGGTGATGGTGTAGGTGTGGTTGTGAGTGGAACTATGTGTCAGCTGTTTTAATCAAAATGAGAGTATTTCTTCATGATGGTGTCATGCACTTTGCCCTAAACTTGAATCTCCTATTTAGTTTCAACTCGATATCAGCTTCACCTCGTGCTTTTCGGAGCCACTTTAAGTGATGAACTACTAAGAAAAATATGTACATCCAGTTTATCTTCATGTTACTTACAGGAAACCCCAAACTAAATATAATAGATAGCATTTATGTTAATACATGGTGTAAGTGGTTAGCAATTTTTCTTGCTTTTATAAGCTATTTAATTTCTGTTTTATTTTTTAAGATTTTTTTTTTTTTTTTTTTTTTGTTTTTTTTGTTATTTTTAGTTTATGTGCATGAGTATTTTTTTTTGTTTTTTTTATTTTTTTTATTTTTTTTTTTTTTTTTTAAATTTTTTTTTTTTTTTTTTTTGGTCTTTTTGAGACAGGGTCTTCCTGTAGCCCTAGCTGGCCTTGAACTCACAGAGATCCACTTGTCTCTGCCTCCCGTGTGCTGGGATTAAAGGCATGCCCTACCACACCTGGCTCTTTTTTTTTAATTGTGTGTGTGTGTGCGTGTGTGTATGTCTGAGTGTCTGAGTGCAGGTACCCACAGAGCCCTGAGGCATCAGATCCCCCCCTGGAACTGGAGTTATAGGTGGTTATAAGCTACCTGATGTGGATGCTGGGAAGCAAACTCAGGTCCTCTGAAAGAGCAGAACACACTTTTAACCACTGAGCCATCTCTCCAACCCCACTAATTTCTATTTTAAACAGCTTTATTTTAAATAAAACTTTGAAATGTGATGGCCAACCTTTTTAGATCTAGCCAAGATAGAGAAAAATAAACAATGTAATCTATTCTTATACTTGGGTTATCTGAAGTCATATTTATTAGGGTATCTGTTAACCTTGGTAATTTAGAAAGGTTTTATTTTTAAATCTTATTTTTATTTTATGTATATGTGTGTATTGCCTGAATGTAGGTAAGTACACCCGTGTTGTGCAATGCCTGTGGAGGTCAGAAGAGGCTGTTGGATCCCCTAGGACTGGACTTACGGACAGTTGTTAGCTGCCATGTGGGTGCTGGGATTCGAGCCCGGGTCTTCTGCAAGAACAACCAATGTTCTTAACCGCTGAGCCATCTCTCCGGCCCCAGAAAGGCTTTTTTTAAAAACTATCTTTCTCTATTGCCCCCAAGTTAGGTCACAAGTATCATGTATTCAGAAGTTTCTGATAATTCTCAGTGATTGCCCTTTTTAAAATACAGAATATATAATTCCTATAAAACTCTGAATATTTTTCCTGAGCCAGTATTGATTAAATAATGTGATATTTGTTAAAAGTGAATCATGTTTGTTAACAATTAATAGAACCTTTGTGTTTATATAGATAGTAAAATGGTCAGAATTAAATTAATGACCATTGGAATAATAAACTAAGGAAGACAGTAGAAGTCTCTTGGTTTCCTTAAAAACTCTAGTAAGGGACATTAGTAACTAAGTGGCTTTACAAAGTAGAGTCTTAATACAGGAGATTTGGCAATATACAAGGCCTTTAAGTTCCATAGCTGGCATTAGAAAATCTACCTCTTGGAGTTGGAGAGATGGCACAGTGGTTAAGTGTCGTAAGCCACGACTCTGTCCAGCAGAGCCGAGGAAAAACGACACAGACACCAAGGTGAGGTTCAAGCTTCTGTTTCTTTTTCCTCCTTTATTCTCTCTTATTCTTTCTCATATTCTCTTCACTATCTCACCCACTATGATGCTGCTCGTAGGTCTCCTATATCTCTCACTTCATTCTCTCTCACTTTATTCTCTCTCACTACATTCTCACTTCTCATTCTCTCTCACTATGATGCTGTCTCGTTGTTGCTGTTCTGTTCTCTTCTGTTCTCCTTTATTACACACCTCAGCTGTTCATAATAGCGTTTCCAACAACCCTCCCTCTAGCCAGGACCAATCAGGGCACACACACGTGCAGCGGGCAGGCAGAGTGCAGCTCATTAGCCATGTAGCAAGATCATCAGGCTGGCAGCACCTGTTTTTGGGCTCACCATACTTCAGAGTTGGGGTAAACAAGCGGGATTCATGAGCCTTGGCAATCAGCCAAGAGTTGAAGTAAACAGCACGAGGTTTGGCAGCCAGCCAGGGCTCCATTATTGGCTGGCTCGGCTGTGCTCGCTTCCCACAGTTAAGAACACTGACTGTGGGGCTGGAAAGATGGCTCACCAGTTAAGAGCACTGGCTGTTCTTGCCGGGGACCCGGGCTTGAATCCCAGCACCCACATGGCAGCTGTCAGCTGTCCATAAGTCCAGTTCCAGGGGCTTCAACAGCCTCTTCTGTCTTCCTCGGGCATTGAATGACACAGGTGCACTTGCCTACATGCGGGCAATACACACAAGTGGGATGGAAATAATAAATAAAATATTTTTTTAAAAATGAACACTGTTCTTGCAGAAGACCTGGGTTCGATTCCCCACACCCACATGGCAGCTAACAACTGTCTATACCTCCAGTTCCAGGGAATCCAATGGCCTCTTCTGTTCTCCGCAGGCATTGCACGACACGGGTATGCACTTGCCTACATGCAGGCAATACATTCATACACGTAAAATATACTAAATAAAAATAAATGAAAAGAAAAAAAAGAAAACCTACCTCTGGGGCTTGAGAGATGGCTCAGTGCTTAAGAGCACCAGCTCATCTTGCCGAGGACCCAGGTTTGAGTCCCAGCACCCACATGGCAGCTAACAATTGTTCCAGTTCCAGGGGAATCCAGCACTGCCTTCTGACTCTGGGCACAGGTGCATTTACACACATGCAGGCAATACACTCATACACATAAAATAAAAATAATAGAATATTTAAAAAAAGAAACTCTACCTCTGAACAGTTGTCATTAAAGATTGAGATTATGGATGATTTATGACTGCATGCAGTTAGAAATTTATAAAATATAAACAATAATTAAACAACTCTTTAGACAGCCTAAAATGTTTATAGATGACAGACTTTTTTTTTAACTTTTAAATCAGGTAACTAAGAAGCATATTGAAAGAATATGGCTGCACAGATACCAGAATCTGATCAGATAAAACAGGTAAGGTATTATAATTAAGGGTAAAGGATTGGGGGGAGGGAATAAATATATATATATTTACACACACACATATATATGACAGTAACTATGCAACTTTGTCAGTCGTTGATCCCTCAAAGTAAATGTATATTATTTTACTTCCAAAATATTAGAATAATGGTGCTTGTTTGTGATCCCAGCACTTAGAATGCTGAGGCAAAAGACTGTGAATTCTAGGCCAACCTTGGCTACATGGTGAGTTTGAGCTAAACTTCAGCTACATAGTGAGTTCTACTCTAGCCTAGGCTCCATAGCAAGTTTGAGGCCAGCTTCAGCTACATGGTTGTGAGTGGAATTATCATGTGTTAAAATTTTTAGTCAAAATGAGAATATTATGAGTATAGCATTTAAATCCCCAAACCAAAAAAATACATTAAAATGGGTATAAATTATATAAAATATTTTCTGTTTTGTTTTGAAGCCAAATCTTGTTATATTGCAAAGGCTGGTCTCTTAAACCCTTAGACTCAAGTAATCCTCCCATCTCAAGCCTCTCAAGCAGTCAAGATTATAGGCATCACCACTGTCCCTGGCTGTGAAAGCGATGCATTTTTTTAATTTGACAAACAATAGAGGAGAAAAGTACAACTAGAAAGTAAGACCATATTTGTACATCGTGTTATAGTACTGTAGTTAGCAAAAGAATCAGGAGGAAGAAAGGAAAGGGAAAGAAGAGCCTGATGGGATAGTTTGTTTAAATACAAAAATATCAAAGTTTCAAAGTACCTTTGTTGTAAAAACTGAATATTAAAGAATCTTCTGATTTTATTCATAGTTTAAGGAATTCCTTGGAACCTACAATAAACTTACAGAAACCTGCTTTTTGGACTGTGTTAAAGACTTCACAACAAGAGAGGTGAAACCAGAAGAGGTATGGAAAGCATTGCTCCCTAAAAACTCTCCCAGGTACCTTAAAAGTAGGATAAAGTGTAGGATCCACCACGCACTTCACTTGTTCCTCCTTCCTGGGCTGCCATTCTCTGCCCTGCTCAGAGAAAGTAAAGCAGTCAAGGACCCATGGCACTGAGTTCAGTGTGACAGTCACATTGCATCAAGCAGACCTTTGCAGAGCAGGTATCTGGGACAGCTGAGTTACTGTTCCACAGCACAGATTTTCAATAACTGTCTTTTAGTCAAGATGCAGTGCTAAGGAAGTTTGATATCTGCTTTGAGAACTGTGACTCCAGAAAAAGCAAAATACAAATACGGTGCCTTGTATTGCAGAAGACTCTGAAAACCAATCCTAATACTTCACTTTTAATGCCCTTATCAAAGTCTTTATGTATCTGCTCAAAATGAATTTTCCAAATTGAAAAAGTCAACAAACACTCATGCCAAGATGTAACTCATTAAATAATTTATAAGTTTAGAAAACAGTATAATAATTTTTTAAGAATATTTTTAGCAGGGAGTGGTGGCGCATGCCTTTAATCCCAGCACTCGCGAGGCAGAGGCAGGTGGCTCTCTGTGAGTTCAAGGCCAGCCTGGTCTACATAGTGAGTTCCAGGACAGCTGGGGCTACAGGAAGACCCTGTCTCAAAAAAAAAAAAAAAAAAAAAAAAAAAAAGAATATTTTTATTCTTTGCCAATTTTTTATATATATATACAATGTATTTGATCACATTTTTTTAAATTTACGATTTCTATGATAAGTAACACTAATAAAATTTGATATAATTTTAAGCAGAAGAAAGAAGGCGGGGGGTTCACGTTGCAAAACCCCTTTTCCTGGAACGAATTTTTTAAATCAGTTTTTCAAAATGGGTCAGTGCAACAAACGTATTCAGTGACTAGTCATGTTTAATTCCTATTGCACTAAGGTTCAATGGAATTTAAAAGAAAGCCCAGTTTTCATGATCACTTCCTTAAAAGAATAACATGTGTTAGATCCTTTTGAATGCAAAAATGGTTCTTACTACTCCAGTACACAGAAATTTGAATTCACATGTCCACTGGAGTAGGGAAAAAAAAGAAAAAACTCCGATGGAGTTGAAACTAGACAAGTCTGCTTTCTTACCCTCTTTCATGATGTGTGTCCTTTTGCCTTCCTTGTTACCTAACATTGTCCTCTCTTGGCCTCCTTTCTAAATTTTTAGGCTTTACCCATGTTTACATCTGTTTACATATATACATGTATATGTTGTAAACTAGGATCAGCATATGAGGGAGAACATGTAGGTTTTTCCTTCTGAGTTTGAGTCACTTCACTTAATTGATATTCTTTTTAAAAATATATTTTATTTTTATTTTATATGTATGTCTGTATTGCCTGCATGTATGCAAGTGCACCCATGTCATGCAATGCCCACAGAGGTCAGAAGACGGCTTCAGATCCCCTGGAACTAGAGTTACACATGAACAGTTATTAGCCGCCATGTGAGTGCTGGGAACTGAACCTGGGGCCTCTGCAAGAACCACCAGTGCTCTTAATCACTGAGCTAGCTCTCCAGCCCCTTAATTGATATTCTTATTAAAAAGAAACAGGTTGAAGATGGGCAACATGACACAGACCTATAACCCCAGCAACTGGGGGGCAAAGGTAGGAGAACTTTGAATTCTAGGCCAGCTTGGCCTGCCATAGCAAGACCTTGCTCAAGAGTAAAACCTGAAACAAAATTAAAAGTTGTAAACTAATTATTGAAAAATTGAGTGTCTCTGGACATGGTAGTGCTTCAGCTGGAACTACAGGGAGACCCTGTCTCAAAAAGACCAAAAAAAAAAAAAAAAAAAGTTGAGTTTCTCATTAAAAAGAAACAAATGTATTGGATATACATTTATCTAAATAAAGGGATAGGAATATGGGCTTTCGGTTTATAGAAAAGCTAGTCCACAGGCTTCATGAAAGCAGGGGCCCACCGTTGTTCTTAAGGCCTACAGTCTAGTAGGAATTTCATAGACATTAATTTTTATCAGTGGATTAAGTATAAACAGTTTAAAGCTATGATTATTTGCAAGCCATTAATACTACTTAATTTGTAGATGTATCCAAAGAAAAGCAAAGTTCCTGGTGGTGTTTCCTATAGAATACAGTACATTTTTTTTTTTTTTCGTCTTTTTGAGACAGGGTCTTCTTGTAGCCCCAGCTGTCCTGGAACTCACTATGTAGGCTGGCCTTGAACTCACAGAGATCCACCTGCCTCTGCCTCCTGAGTGCTGGGATTAAAGGCGTGCACCACCACACCCGGCAGAATACAGTAATATTTATTTTCCTGTTGCCTCTTGATCTTTCCTCTTTATTTCTAGGTTACCTGTTCAGAACATTGTTTACAGAAATATTTGAAAATGACCCAAAGAATATCCATGAGGTTTCAAGAGTATCATATTCAGCAGAACGAAGCCCTGGCAGCCAAAGCAGGACTCCTTGGTCAACCACGGTAAACAAGTCCTGGAGCAGGGACTTCACTGAAAGATCGCCAACAGCTGTTGACTGAAGTGAGGATTCATCTGGTAGAATCCCCTGAGAGCAGGAGGAGCCATGGTAAACCATCTGTCGTGACTACTTGACAAATGGAAACCACTGGAGAAACAAAATCACCGTTCACCAGAAATAAAACAGAAGGTCTTACTGTTCAGTGAAAATGATGTTGAGGCCTTAAGATTCAGCTGCTTGATCACCTTGATTATAAAATAAACCACTGTTTCTTTATTTGTGACTGTTAATTTTAAAAGTAAAATATGTGTCCAATCGTGTATGAGATAGAAAAAAATTTATTACTAAAAGTAAAATAAATGAAAGTATCACTGGGCAGTTGTTTTTACTATACAGAACACATAGTATTCTGCCCGGATTGTGGATGCACTGAAATGTTTTTTAATCAGGATCATCCTTCAAATACTTCTGTTCATTCATATCTGCCTCAAATTGCTAGTAAAATACATAAAACAGTTACTTGCTAATCATTTCAGGGTTCAATTCTTTTATTTTTTCCACCCTTCTTTTGCTAGGTGAGCATTACACATTCTTATCCTAACTGCACGTTAATGTATCTTTAGGAAACATCCCATCTGAGGCTAGCTTGGGTATGTTTGTGACTATTGTGCTCTAGTATAGTCTTACTGTTTTGTATTTTATTTAAAATGACATGCCGGGTGTGGTGGTGCACGCTTTTAATCCCAGCACTCAGGAGGCAGAGGCAGGCAGATCTCTGTGAGTTCAAGGCCAGCCTGGTCTACATAGTGAGTTCCAGGCCAGCTGGGGCTACTGGGAGACCCTGTCTCAAAAAAGACCCCCCCCAAAAAAAATCACTTTTAGCCTGGCTTAGTGGCACACGCCTTTAATCCCAGCACTTGGGAGGCAGACGCAGGCGGATCTTTGTGAGTTCGAGGCCAGCCTGGTCTACATAGTGAGTTCCAGGACAGCTGGGGCTACAGGGAGACCCTGTCTCAGACAAAAAATAAAAGAAAATGACTCAAAGGCTAGAGGCACTTAATGCCAAGCCTGACAAATGACCATCCCTAGGACCCACATGCTTGAAGGAAAGAACTGACTCCTGCAAGTTTTCCTCTGACCTCCACACTCATGCCACACAAATAAATGTAAAAAAAAATTTTTTAAACTGAGTCCAACGTGAATTGTTTTGAGTCTGACCAACAGTGTGCAACTGATATGAATTTTATGGCTAATGAATTCTGAAACAAATCCAAGAATTTGCAGGAAATTCTAGCTGACAACTAAGTATAACAAGCAGCTGGTGAAAGTAAGAGCTATGTGTTATAGGACGGAGTTCGTAAAAAAAATCACCACCATTTTAAGAAAAGTAGCAAGGTAAATTTTAATTTTCGACTGGCCGGGCTGTCTGTCTCGGAGTAGACACAGCCCTGATGATTGTCGGGTCAGAGTTTTTATAGGATTACAGAAATATTATTCAAACAGGATACTTGTGAACCAATCAGGTTTGTACAACATAGCAGAACTTTGACTCTATTGATCAACAACCAATCAT